CTAATCACAATAAGGAAACAGTTAAAATAGTTAATAAATGCTAACAAATGTTAACAAATAACAAACATTTATCCATTAAAACTAATTAAAATGAGAGTTTGTCACTCCAAGAGTCTAATTCAACCATCTAGTCTTTAGCCCAATATTATCTGATATATAAATGTATTCAAAAGTCCAAATGTATCTGATCCTTTACTTAATACCCCCACTGAACAGGGCAAAGATGCTAATGTTCATCTCCTCGTGAAAAAAATGACCCTCCATTGCCTCAATCATAGCCTTTGAACATCCACATCTATTGATCTGTCACATGCAGCTTCATGCACGAAAATGCAAACAAAATGAGGAAAAAAAATTATCTTGAAATTCTTAAAAAAAAAAAAAGGTCTTATACTTCAATCCAGAGGTTCGTTATATCTGTCTGGTCTTCACGGTCATAGAAATGTGTCATTTATGAAAAATAGCTTTATATCACAATCTTTTAAAACAGACTCAGTCGGCGAGCTCTTGTATTTTGCACGTTCTTTCCTCACATGCATCGCTTGGTTTTTGGTGGGTGTGACTTAGCTTTTTCATCCAATAGCATGCAGCCTGTTAGAAAAAAAGAAAGGAGGAAATAGTGGGCGGGGCCTCCCTTCAACAGTAGGAAGTGCTGTGAGCCTATCAGATTTCCTCTCCACACTGTCATGTTAACCTCAACCAATCAGCTTCTGGGAAATCCCACCAAAAGACACTAAAAAAGTCAGACTTCTTAAAAACAAAGTCATCTGAATTTCTATGTAACATCTGATGTAATAGTGTTGTTCATTCATGCTTTATAGTTGTTAACCAGTTAGCTAAGAGATCATGTGAATGATAGTAGAAATCAGCTTGTTAACAGAGATCTTTTAACCAAATACACTGATTAGATACCAGGTAGGTTCAATTTTCTTTTAAGAATTGTTTCTGGGATTAAACAGTCACCATCACCCTTGTATTTACAAATGTTTTACAGACTGCATAAATAAGATCAACAGACTTTTCTTTGTTTGTGAGACTTGTACATAATCTGTTGTCCTATGTAGTGGTGTTAAAGTATAGCAGTATAATATGTTACTGAAAAAACCCAGCAGCTGAGCTCAGCGAGCTGTGAAGCATGATCACTGCCATTACTGACAGAGTGTAAACAAAATGTTACACAGCAAGTCAGATAAACTCCAGAATTAATCATGTCACATTAAACATTTGGAAAACTTGTTTTTTTTTACATAATGTGAAAGCCTTCTGAATACAGCTTCTGATATGAATGGCTTCAATAAAGAGATGACAAAGATCAACTTTAGTAAATGAATCTCTATTAGTGGACACATCTTATCATCTCTGTATATTTTTGTTATGGAAAGTTCTCTCTACACTAAACGAATCCAAAGGGAAGGTGGAAATACACCAA